GGCCTCTCTCATCTTTTTAAGTGGGAGAACTTGCACAATTGGTGCCTGACTAAATACTTTTTTGCCCCACTGTATTTCTGGACTGCTGTCTGGGTGGTGGTATTTGGACCTAAACTGTTCATGGCTTCTAATAGTTTTAGTTAGAATTTCTTTAAAATTCATTCAGAAATATGAATAAGCCTCCAAATTAAAATGTCTGCAATTATCTGCTCAGTTTCAAAAAGCAAGACAAGAGATGTAATTACACAGTCTAGAGCCACAAACTAGAGTATTCACAGTAAAGTATAGGCAAGGTCTGATTTAGAAATCAAGACAAAAAGCTCAATAGATCCAGAGGACTGAATAATAAGATGTTAGGTCTAGGCAAAGGTCACAATTTCCAGGAAGTAAAGGTGCAAAATCAAGCTATTAGAGAAGTTGCTCCAGCATTTCCATGTCCTTAATCAAATGACATTATGCAGTAATACTACTGATGTATTTTGTATAATTACTCTTTATCCTAATGTAGTAAATTGACACAAGTGTTTTCAGTTGAGATTTAACAGACATACAGATTTAATGGCCCTTCCTCCCCCGAGTGGTCTGTTAAATTGAGAGTTTGTTGTAGACCATTTAATTTCTATCAAACTTAACACAATTCTAACACCTCCCACCATACTTAACTTGTGGTTACCCATTTTTTTTTTTTTTGGAAGTGGCATCCCTAGGCTGATAAATGATTGACGACCCCTTTATTTATTTGTACCCAATATTAGGGAACATTGCGGTCTTTCTGACTTGCTGTAATATCTCTGAATTCCTTGATTCAGCTGCTAGGTTAGACAGTATTCTACAGCATCAAAACAAAAGACAAAGCTTCACTCAATCTCCATTTTCTGCAACTTTCAGCTGTGGGCCAGGATGCAGATTGTTTATAATTATTGTGTTCAGTGTCTGTACCTAGTACAAGTTATTAGTATCTGCTACTGAAAAAAATGATGACCATCAAGTGTGGTTATATGTAGAAGTGTCACTTAATTGAGGTTGGCTGGAGTGTCTCTGTTGTGAAGCTAAAGACCATTATGATCCTATTAGATCCTTCATTTACAGCTGGTGGTAGCCTGAAGATTTTATTTTTAAAAAATTATATCCTACCCCGCCCTCCAGGTTAGCTTTATCCCTCATCGAAGTAATTTAAGCAACCTATAGCCAGGCAGAGAAGTTGGACA